TGTACAAACGCACAAAGAAAAAAGGAAACAAAGATGACATTAGGAGCTTAACTAAGAACATCATTGTACTCTTAAACCTCCATGAGTGAATCTTTCTGGACTTGGCCCTAATGCAATATTTCAGCAGGTAGGTATAAAGGTCAGTATTAAAGATAATCTATTTACCTCAAAATATTTTGAAACATCTTAACATATTTCTCTTTTGTGTTATTTTCCTAACCCTACACCTGCTAACAGACTGAGAATGCAGAGTGGCTGACAGCACACAGCTTCCATCCTGCTGGCTGCAAGCAACACACACCCCACATATAGGTACACCCTGTGTATAACCAGAGCAGGACCCAGGAGCTATGCAATCAACAGCTGTAGGCTCCACAGAAAAGTCACACTGCTAAAAAGGCTCTGCACTTCTCAAGAGGAACCTCAACTACCTTTATAAATCATCTACAGAGCTAAAGACCAGTAGTAGCAGTAGTTAAAAGCCCACAGGTGTTCAAAAGCGAACTGCGTGACCCATACCTGAGTTCACAGGCTGATTAGCAATCCAGCTGATGAGAATCAGCAGAGCCAGAGGGAATGAGTAACAAAACTGTTCTCCGTTTTGGGAGATGCACTGAAGATAGCAAGTTACTTGCACTACTGAGTGCAGTGGTCAATTAATTACTTTCCAAGCTCAGTTAGTAGTCTGGAAGAAAAGCCAAGGAGACGCTCTTCTTCAAGGAAAATCACTTCTCATCTGCAGCAACGGAAGTCCCAGCATCAGCTTCTTCCCTCTCTTACACCTTTTCTCTACCCTCCTGCTCAGATAACATCTTTCTGTTGCCGCATCACCATGACATAAGGCGAGACTACAGGAAACCTTCTGTGTGCCAAATAGCATACAGACAGCTGGCATGGGAAGTGTTAAATTGCTCACAGGTCAGAGCAGAGAGGAAGCCAGGAATGCAACAGATGGTATGAATTCTGGCAGATGCAGAAGACAAAGAAAGTGATGTGGTTAAGAGAGATGGCCTTCCAAAGCAGAAGACAGAAAAAGGAAAAAGGAACAGAGGAAAAAGGAAACGTGAATGGGCAACGTGCAGATCATTCTGCTCTTGCATCTCACTTCCTCCTCACAGCCAGAGCAGCACATGTGGGCTCCTCATAGCTTTCCACACATGGGCAGCAGAAAACAAAAAGCAGAACATCTGAGCTGCACGTTTCCATTTTTTAAGGGTAACAGAGAGAATGAAATAGTACAGAACTCATCAGATATTACTGGACATCCACATTTAACCATAAGGCAACACAAAAGGGAAAGACTTTGCACCTGATGGCACACGTGTGAAACTTCCTCTGTGGGCATGCCAAAACAGAGCACATTGCCTTCACAAAGACACTAGTCTGCAGCACCATCTGAATTCAGTAATCACACAAAACACTCTAAGGCAAGGTGAAAGCCTTTAAATGTGAACTAGTTAGTCGATGAGGAATTGCAGACAAAGCAGCTTACACGGCTTAGGGTAGTAACACACTGGGAACTCAGCCATCTCACACTGCTGAAAGAACTCATACAGCTTTGTCTCCACTCTCAACAGCTCAGCTAATGCGAAGCAACATCACAGCAGAAAACAAAGGATGCTGATTTTGCTGCAAGGTAAGCTTTAGTAAGCAGAGCCTTGTTCTGAAAGGAGGAAGGTAACAAAGCTTAGCCAAAAATAATAAATAAAAAACATGTACATACACACCCCACGCACACTGTCAAGCCTTGTCATGCTCTAACAACACATCCAAGCACAGCTGCCCTCCCTTACAGAACCTGACACCAGAACAGTGCTGCTGGTGCAGCGACACAACGCACATCTGGAGCGTCAGCTGTTCTCACTTTTCCACCGCTGTTTCTGCACCCAAGAGGATCAGTTCCTGGGCTCCTACATCCCTTTCTCCCACACAGTAAGGTGAGCAGACCCAGACATTAATTACACTGCACATCTTTAAAAGCTCTTTGGTTCAGCTTCAATCACTGGAAAGGGATTGCAGAGCAGATACTCAAATACTGGAGCAGGTGTCCAGTGAGGCTGTGAGCAATCCATCCTCAGGGGTACTCAACACTTGACCAGAGAAGATCCTGAGCAGCCCTGATCTCAGCTCATCCCGATTTGAGCAGGCAGCTGCACCAAATGATAACCAAAGTCCTTTACAGCCTCAATTAATCCATAAGCTTGTCTTTACAGATTGCCACAAGCTGGAAGGGGCAAATAAGTGACTTTTCCTTCCTCCTTCACACTTCCCAGACAAAATGCTAGGGTTGCCTTTCCATGCCTTGGATCTGACCTTGAAACTGTTTCACCATTTCAGGGCTGTTAAGCCAAACCAAATTTTCATCACTTTCTTCTGACATAAATGACTAGCTGGTGACAGATATAACAGTACCTCAGAAGAGTAGGCCCATTTTCAAAACTAATCAAAAGAGCAAAACAAACTTTTTTTTTTTATTTTTCAACCTGTATATACTGTATGTCTTTATCAACAAATATACAAGGGCTGGTCTGAAAGTAATGCTTCCTATTTCATTACACTGCCTTGTGACATCAAAGGCAGCTGTTGGGGGTATGGCAGTACAGGTTGAACCTTCCCACCAATATTCCATTACATTTTGCTGCCATGTGACAGGTGGCAGCAGAGGGGCAGTCTGACAAAATGGCGTCTGACATGAAAGTGCAGATGAAGCAAAGGTGAAGCACTGAATTCTTCCATGCAGAAAAAATGGCAACCTCTGACATACACTGAGGCTTGCTGAACATTTATGCAGACTAAACAATGAACACGAACACAGAGAGGCAGTGGCTGGTGCGTTCAGCCAGCCATCAGTTGTGACAGTGGGTCACCTCCACTGGTGCGGGTTTTAATGAGCACAGCATGCAGGCTCTTTTTCACCACTGGCTTTGTGATTACTGACACAAACACACAAACACACGCCTCGAGCACCTGCATGGAGTGCAAATGCAGTGGTTTGTCCACTAGGAGCACAGAGAGTTAAAAGTTCTCTACTGAAATAAATAGGAGGGAGATGCAAAACAGGCAGTTTGAAGCTCTCTAGACATATTACAGAACCTTGTTTGCATGAGTATTAATTTTTTGTTTGGATACTCAAACGAGCTCTATTTCCATTCTGTTTTGGATTATCTGACCTGTTAACAGCAAGCCAGCACAGGATATGACTCCCTTGCTCTCCCCGTTGTCTTCAAGTCTGTTATGACAAGAATAACTTCTACAAACTGACATTTTGCAGCTTTTTATATTTTATTGTCAGCTACTATACTCATTATTGCCTACAGTTCACTATATCCAACTGGTTTTGATAAGGAAGCTTCTCAATACAGTCAAGCAGCACATCTTCCTGTTCATGATTTATGAGCAAATGTTCAGCCCAGTCTTCATTACTTCATTAAAAAAAAAAACAAAAACCAACACCTGTCCATAAGATTAATGAAAACCTTTGTTACAATTTTCTAGTCTAACAAGTGGAAGCGAAATTCATGCAAGGCAGAGGATGGCAACATTCTCAGAAAATACACAGAAACTCTGTCTCTGTGCCTTGTAAATACAGAGAAATATCTCCATTCAGCTCATTTTAAGAAGCCATGACTGAACACCACGAGAAATTCCAGTTGCATACTCAAGAGCTAGGTAACCAGGAACTTGCAAGTCACACAGCTCCTTTTTTCCACACATTTGACTGGAAAATGCATACTGAACTTCGGACATCTTTTACTCTTGTCCAAACTCCCACCAATAGCAATTCTACCAAGGCTTAAACAGACGAGCACAACTGATCAGTCCTTACAACAACACCAACAAATTAACTTGGCTTCAGTGCTACAACATGAGCTCAATGCTTTTATAAAGACTACAATGGATCAGATGTTTTGTACGGTTACATTTAAGGCCTTAAAAGTAGGAAAAAAGCTCACTTGCTTAAAGCAGAACTATGCACATGGATTTCCACAGCACAGTTATTAAAGCCCCCACTATTTTAAAAGGAATAGAAAACTGGATTAAAGACGATGCATAAAGTTAAAGAAACAAGCATTTAACTAAACATGTTACTTTTAGCCAATGAATTTAAGAAGATATTCTTTTATTCTTTGTTCTACTCCACAAGTGAGGTTAGCAATGTCCTTGAAGTGTCCTGGGAAAGGTAAGGTATTCTCATAAAGAGCTTTAAGACGAATAAAATCTCTACAAAGCACTTACATAAAAAAGAAACATTTGCTGGGCAAAAATCACTCAGTTATCAGAAAGTTCTCAGACACTTCAGAAGGATGTGAAGTTTGTGGCCCTGCTGCCTGCATACTATGTAGCCTAGAAAGCTTCTTGTTAACTAAAGGTTGGATAACATTAACTAAAACTTACTTAATGCTAACAAAAGCATGCCATCACAAAGGAGGAGATAGCCTTCCTAAGCTCCCTAGAAGAGCAGTGCTGTAGGGAGGATTAAGACATGTAAACATTATTAGCCAATTCACTGTTTCTTTTCCAGAAAGTTACTGTTTAAGTTTCAAAAGACTCAGAATTACAATTTGACAGAAGAGGAAAACAAGCAGCAAGATATAGTTTAAAATATTGAAACAAAAATGACTAGAGTGAAGGTTGTGGGGATGTTAAGGCCTTTATTACAGAGGCCTGTATGTTGAGTCAGGGTACGCAGGATCCCTGCAATCACACAAAGCATCAGTCTCTCACTACAACAGCCACAGGTCAAGCCTGTCTCACTTTACCCATCTGTGCATTGGGACTTAGGCACCTGCTACCAAGCGCTGAATTATAATTGGCCAATTAGAAGAACCTTCAAGATGTGAAATAATAGGAAGGGACCTATCTTCTCTAACAACAGAGAAATCAAGAAATTGGCAGTGGCTTCATGACTTACATAGCACATCGTACAGAACACACTACTAACACTACCAGACAAGCCCTGTGGTAACAGGCACACCGAGGTCATAGCAATGGTCACTTACGGCATTCCTTCTCATCGCTGTCATCGAAGCAGTCTGGCAGCCCATCACACTGCCAGGCCCCCGGGATACAGCGCCCATTGCTGCACATGAAGTTTCCAGGTATGTTGCATTCATTTGTGAAATTGTTCCCAGGCAGCAGCTGGCTATCTGCAACAACAACAACAAACAAGTTTACAGGATATTAAAAAAAAAGCAACGCTCTCTTTCATGAGGTCTAAACACAAGTAAAATAGGTAAGGCCACAAGAACTCAGCTCCATACACTCATGCTTCTTTCAGGCTGGTATTTAGCTCGCAGATTTGTCTTGTTGCAGCTAGGAGCTAGGTAGCACGTGGACTAATTCACACTAGCTTTTCAATGAAGTTCTAAACATAGTGATGCTTGGTGTCAGCTGTGTGCCCTGGCACACACCTGTCCAGGCAAGGAAAGTAGACAGAATGTTACTAAGATCTGCTGTGTGGAGATAGTTTAGCAGGAGGAAATTGGAGACTGAGAAAACAGTAAGAAGGCAAACTATACATTTGCTTTTAAGGTTGTAAGAGCTCTAGCCAGTGATTTCCGTCTACTGCACTTCCATGCCTGTGCGCTGTTTTCAGAACACAGGTATTGCAGAAATGTACACTTCACGGAAGGAAGACAGATAATGGCAATTATTTTAATAAGCAAAGAGATTCAACCATGGGTCTAAAACACAGGTTGGGCTTGGGGGCCTGATGCTCCCAACACAGGAGCAGCAAGATAAACGGAATCTCAACCCACCACACTGTGGGAAGCTGCAAGACGAGGCAGAGGATGAGAGAAAAGTTTCATTTCCCATCTTTCTGCCTCGTTTGAGGCGTTATGCTCCAAGTTCATATTCTCCCAAAAACCAAAAACAAAAACCTTCCTGCATAAAGAAGGGGATGTCAGTGCTCCCTTATAACGCTGCAAAGTTTTACATCATTGTTTCAGAAGATGCAGGACAGGATTGCTTTGGGAAGTATTTTTATGCCCATTTCTATCCCAAACAATAAGCTTCCTCTCAATTTTTTTTTTCCTGGCAAATATCTGACTCTCCTGGGATGCTCAAGAGTCTGTCAGCACAGAGTGGTTACCTTAATTTGGTAATTTGCCCTGAGCTGCTGGAAGATAAAATGATTCAGAAACAAAGTTGAAACTGTAACTTCTGAGGCAGATGTGGCAACCTGAGCCACCAGCTGGACAGTAGAGCCATGTGCAACATCCACAAGGTGTGGATGGTGTGGTAGCACCTTCAAGAAAGGAAGTGACAGCTCACAGAAAGCAAGCCCAGGCAATTTAGCTGGCTGTTTAGTCTATGCTTTTACTGGTTTCATTCAAACCTCAGTTTCCTTCCCTGCATCAGTGCTCCTCCGACCAAGGAAGAACAGTTTTGCAAGATGCAGCTTCTTGCTGCGCACTGCGAACAACTCAGTGCCAGGCCCACGCTGCCATCCCTAGGGAAAGTGCCACTACCAGCAGCCATCCAGGAGAGCTGCAAGGAAACACTGAGCACATACAGTCAGTAACAGTCCCTGAGCTACTGCTGCCTGAAAGCATCACTTTTTTTTGTGCGACCTGCTGTAGGGAACCTGCTTTGGCAGGAGGTTGGACTCTATGATCTCTGGAGGTCCCTTCCAACCCCTATAATTCTATGATTCTGTGATTCTGCGAAGTCCTGCAGTGCTCTGCAGTCTGCAAATGTGGGGTGAGTTAGTTTTTTTTTCCTTAAACCAGCTCTTTGACACAATCACATCATTCTTCATATCACTGACCTGTGTCTGATAAGTGGCGGCCAAGCCAAAAAGCACTCCTCCCAACAGCCACATAGAAGTTGCCAACATTGCACAGCCTCCTGTTAGGCAGCAGCCTGCAGCACACCCATAACAGAGCTGCCTTCAACAGGAGGAAGATGACCCCTGCACTACAAACTGATGTTTGCCTTTAACAGATCAAGATATGAAACAGTGATACGGATGTTCTCCGCAGAATCAAGGCATGGCCAATATGCCATCTTCTTGAGCTTCTCAAGAAGCTTCAAGAGCAGACCATAATCCCTTCTCTACAGTCCTCAGAAAAAAAAGAAAGAAAATAAACCACAACAATCTAAATCTCGTGGTTAAAATTAACTCTCTGCTTCAAAATGATGATACTGCAAGCATCATACAACAACTAGGAATTACCAAGGTTTCAGTTCTCTCAAAGTCTAAGCACTCAGGCAGTACGTTGAGGCAATACCACCAGAAGAAGGTGCCATTCTCATTTGTGCTGCTGCTCTTTGCCACCTTCTCGTCCAGCCCTCCTGCCTGCACCTCTCCCCCAGCCTGTTCCACTTTCACACAGAAGCTGCACCTACTCAGAATGAAACCTTGCTGTCAACACTTCAGCGAGGCCTCCTCCAGGCCCGGGCGAGGTGCCAGCAAAGAACAGACACGGGGTCTAGACTTGCCCCAAGTAGGGAGCTGCCTTCCCTGCTCTGAGCATCGCGGTGCTCCCCAGACAACGCAGTAACTGATGCACTTCCAAGGACTGCGGCACCTCCTCCGCAGAGAGGCCCCGGCTTGGCTCCTGGCAGGCTGCATCTGCCTGAAAACATCCACCAGGATCTCTTGCACCCATAATGAAAAGCTCGGATCGAGCCAAATCATTTATGAATGTTTTAGGCCTCAAAAAGCACAAACTCAAAAACAGTGCCCTCAAAAAGCCATCAAGTCCCTGATGCTTCTAACAACCGTTTTGAATAAAGGCTGTATTTCTACTCTACTGAATTGAAGGAAAATGTCAAGAACAGATATCAGATTTTGTTACCCAGCAAGCGGTTTGTTTATAGGATTTCCTTTGCCATACAATAAATTTATCCTCAATGCTCTTCTAAGTAAGGATGTAGCACTAACCTTCTTACCAAACAGGAAACAAAAGATACGGGCAGATAAAGTTGCCAACAGACCTGTGCGAGTTCTGCTGCAGAATGGGAACAGTGAACTCTGACTCATACTTATTTCAAAGGAAGAAGAGCTCTTTCCCTTAAAATATGACCCCCATCAGCTGCTGGAATAGAGCTGCAGGTTACAGACACCACAATTTCAGAGTCACAGTCAGCACACCTAGAAACGTGTCACGTGTATTACTCCACCTCTGGAAAAAAAAGTAATAATAATCCACCACTGGGTATGGAACTGTCAAAACTATGCCACACATGGAACCATTTACATGGCACAGTCCACTTCATTTCCTTTGCTTTGTAAGCCTCCTCTATCTGATATGAGGGCCATCAGGGCTGCAAGGAAACCCTTGCTGTGGCCACTTGCCCTGCAAGGGAATGTGAGAAGAGCGGTGTTACAGGCACAAGAAGGACCTGTCCCATCACCCATTTTTCTGAAGGATTCAAGCAGTATCCTGACGAAGTCTGTACAGATGTCAGATTTTGTGCAGCCAACTTGCTATACTGCTTGTTGGCAGGGCAGAAATTCCTTCAATCTGGCAGAGCCGCCTTTCCAATTGCTGACATATTTACCCTGCAGCCTCTCTGACTAATTTTGAATTCAACCCAAACGCAAACTGCACGGATGTGTTCAGTTAAGTGAAGGGAGAAGGGAGAAGAAGCAGTCCATTTTCACCGCCACACACTGCTCACTTTAAAAAGCACACCATCTGGGCTGAATAAAAAAGGGAGTCATGTTTCACTTTGAAGGGGACCGAGAAAGGAAACCAATCTGTTTTAGCAGCCCCTTCCAAAAATGCTGGCATCTAAATATTTAATACTCGCTAAAAAGGAATCAGAGGAAAAAATAAATAAAAGGACATGTCATACTGAGCACGTCACACTGTAGTAACAACGCAGGGCTAGGATGCCTTTCACAGAAAAAACTACCTGAAAGCTCTCCAGAGAACTGCACATTACAGAACAGATTGCTGCTGATAGTACTGCTGTGTCTGTATCAGGACACACGATCAGAGGGAACAGCCAGTCATTCTGGCAATGGAGTTTTTAAGGAAGAAATACAGGACACTCGGGAGTTCAAACTTGGTCACCCATAGTGTCCGTAACTTCAGCCTCTTTGCAAAGAGCATCTGTCACCAAGGATGGAGCACAAACTCTTGGCTGCCAAACCTCTCATGCCTTTTGTGGGAATTGTCACTGGATACTGTCAATGATCTCTGTACAACATTTCCCAAATGTGAGGAGATTGATTTAGATCCAGGCTGGTGCGTAGCTGTAGTGCTACTCACGAGGGCTACTCAGGACGTACATGAATGAACGCCTCCTGTTGTCCTTCTTACCTCCCACCCGGCATACAGCCACACCAGCTTTGATTCCAGTGCACCAGGAAGGTGTCCTTGCTCTACTGAAATCTGCAACATGCTGTGAACACAAAAGGAGAACGAGAAACTAGAGCAGATCGGCAGCTGGAATTTGCAGCAAGATGGCACCAGAAAGACATACCTCTCATACCTTTTCACCCACAAAGAACTTCACAGCTATAAAGACAGTGATTTAACTCTCCCTTTCACGATTAAAACCTCAATTCATGACTTAATGGTATGAATCTTTTCAAAAGATATGATAAAGAAATTTTTAGTTAACATAGGTGCTTTTGTTTTTATAGTGGAAGAAACCAGAGGATTTTAAAAGTTTTCAGGAGGATTTAAAAACTTTTCTGTGTACCAGGTAGAATGCTGCGAGACCGTATTTCCACTGCATTGACCTCGGAACTACAGACACAGGGTCTGAATTTTGGGTGGGTCTATGTGAAGCCAGAGTCAGACTTAATGATCCCACTTAAAGTGGGTCCCTTCTGACTTGGGATACTGTATAAATCTGTTACTGCAGACTCTCAACAAACACTTTTATCTCCTAAGTCAACTTACAAAGAAGCAGTGCAAAGTGCCTGGTAGGACATCACAAGACTTTGTTTCCTCAGAGACTTTAAAATTTAAAATTTAATATTTAAAAATGTTTACATTCAGGTCCAGTTGCTTCTGTGGATTGAGGTGGGAGGACAGATGCATCTTTTCAGACTTCCTCATGCAGATATGAAGCATCCGACTCACCAAATCCACATCTATTTTACAGATGTTTACTAATGCTGATACAGCCAGAAGAGAAATTCAAAAGCTAAGCATGAAGAAACTCCAAGCGTCATGCCTTG